TGAACTTAAAAAACAATTTTTACAGGCCAGCCAATAAAGAAGCTGTACGTAGACATGACGACGACGCCTAAGTGAAAGATTAAGTAAAACACTCATGAATATTGCGAAAGACTTGACGCGGTTACCATCTCAAACGGCGCCATTCCTTTCTTCAGAATAACGTGCGAAGACAAAGTCAACTTGAAAATAGAAGATCGAACAATTTTCGGCCGGGATTCCCCATCTCTGTTTCTGAAAAGAAAAGTGGAGATTTTACCCTTTTTTTAGCAAAGCAAATTTGAAAGTTTTGAAAAAAACACTTATTTTTTTCATTAAGAATTTTTTTCTCCTTGTCAGTATCTAGCTATCAAAGCAAAACGGTAGATATGACAATAAAGCTTTACTTTAACTTGTTTAAAAATTATCGCGAAGCTAATTTGATCGATTAGCTAGCCCTTTCTCGTAAATTTAAAACTAGAAGTAGTCTTTTGATATATAACTACTAAAAACCGCAAGAAATTATCGTTAATAATCTTACCGAACATTTACATATCACGTTCGATGCATTTGAAATTTGACACTGAATTCACTCCCCTTCATCGTGGAATAATTTGACATGTTAATTAGGTAAGGACATGTCCTAAGAACTTCACGTATACACCGCCTACTGCTGAGTTAAAATACTTGAGAGAAATATGTCAGTGATGTACAGCCCAGAGATCGATAAGAATTTGTACGCCATCTCTATACTTGTACGACATTACAGAGAAACCTTCTTAATCACCTGCACCATCTGTCTAAAATTTAGACCAGCACATCACAGCGTGAGTACCGCAAAATGAAAAATATTTCACTTTGGATCATGTTGCCTAGACTTCCTGTGTCCCCTAAGAGCTGATGATGCCTTCAAATACATGTATGACTCGAATACATGGAATATGTGAGCCAGGAAATAAGAAACATCAGCTTGTCCACGCCTTTAAACTGAAGTAAGTAGAACACCTTTAATGAATAATCTTGGTCAGGGAAAATGTACAAAAAAAAAAAATAATTATTTTAAATGTAAATTGTCACTCATTTCCTTTCGAGCACTTTTGAAAAAATTGCAAGTTGAGTTAAGGAAGGTTGAAGAGAAATTTCTCTGCCCTGTTTAATCGTTGTGGAGTGGTTATAGAATTTAGACAAACGACGAATGGAACGCAGCATATTGGAAAGGAATCTACAAGGACTGATCTTCTTTGCGAGGCAGGGCGAATGTAAAGGAGCTAATTCGAGATTGGACGTGCATCAAGCATTAATTTTTCACACTAACTTGAGTCAGTGAAGCATTTTCCGATTATATTATCCTAACAAAAAAATTCATAACATTCTTGGAAAGATTACAACTCTTCAAGGCCATCTATTATCCCATCATCGTCAGAGAAATTGAGAGAAATTTAGAACACAGTCATTTCTGCGTAAACAAAGCCTAGATGTTTAAGTTTTGAATAACTCTTTATCGGTGGAAGTTATATTGCACCAAAATTACTCATGATTTACGTACAATACACCTAGAGCAGTTTTATTAAGGCTTATTCACCGAAAATTTGGTAGACATTCGTCGAAAGTTACCGTGGATAGTGACTTACAAATGACGTATGCTTTAGCAACCTTGTATGATACAAAATGTTAAAATATGTTGGTTTGTCATTTCAAACAAAGTCATATCGAAAAGAAATGTCGAAAATTTTACTATGGTTTATTTTCAGAGCCGCAAGAAAAAATGGTTCTGCAGAACTTTTGTTCAGGGAGGCATAAATTTCATTTGAGGTTACGAAAAAGGAACTTTTTAAAGGTGTCACGTCTTCGTGAAGCAAATTCAAATATTTCCCAATCTTTCACGAGCCAAAAACTGGCAAAAATTTTGGCGGCGGTCGCATCGAACTTTAACTAAACTTCATTGATTGACACATACGTCAATCACAAACCAATCTTCCCCTAATGAAAGATAAATATAAATTCTCGCTCGAATTACGAAAGCAAAATTACAGAAAGTCTGAAAGGCTCAAAATTTAACGAGCGAACAACTAATAATGCAATAAACGCACTGACTCTTATGCATACTCTCTGTAAATATGTATATGAAAAGCTGACAACCCTCACATATTGGGTATTTAATTTTGAGGGCGCAGAAACGTTCGTATGAAGCCGATTGTTTTCCAAATTACCGCCAGTGAAAGGGCCCACGGTAAGAGTCAGACATTCGAATAAAAACCTCAAATTCCTCGTTACCCTCAAACGAAAACTGAGGATCGGATGGACAAAGAAAAAAATCGTGTCGTGCCATCGCGTGCGCAAAACAACACTAGCGGACTACTGTGTATTTTTCCCGCTTAAATTTTATCTAGACATGTCCTGCGTACGATGACAGCTTAATGGTTAAAAAAACAAGATTGTTTGGTTTTCCAAAATTTGGAAGCCTTCAAGGCAGGACATTACCTCCTTTGTAGATTGGCGAAATTTTGGCTATCCGCAAAAATTTGGGGAGTTTTTAAAATTGGTGGTCGAACTTTTTTACGCTACTTGTTGACAGATTTTTCCGCTGAAAGAAACAAAATATGTTCTAGTGCGACCCGGACCGGAGTAATACGCTATGCTCAATTGGCTGTATATATGAAATTCTATTCAGTTCTGATTGGTTAGAAAAGGAGAAGTTCTCATATACCATAAGTGAAAAATTTGTAATACTAGTGCAAATTATTTAAGGACTCTCCTTGGCCATAAAGACAATACAAGAAAACAGGAGTCAATCAGATGAGAGCTGTTTCTATAGCAAAATTTTGGCGGAAATTCGAAAAAGAATGGTCGGGATCTTCAGCAACAACGATTTGGATTTGCGAGGGAAACAGCTAATAAATTATTCAGAAACCCAAACAATTAAAATAACATACTTTTTTGACTGGCTGAGGGGAAAACGAAGTTTGAAGAGGAGAATGTCGACAAAGGAATCAAGGAAAGCGAGCCAGAGATAAAGACACTAAAGATAAAGCCAAAAATGGTGACGACTACGAGCCAGAAAACTTAAGAGTGATGATAGTTTCTCTTGATCGACTTTAAAATGAAGGATAAAACAAGATTTCATAATAAGAGAAAGAGAGTTTCACACCTCCAAGCAAGTATTATAAGGAGAAGCTAGACAGCTTTGTCGGTTCGGTATGGGTGAATATCCAAAAAAGGGGTGAAGTTAACTGAAAAAGAAAAGGAAGGACTATAGAGGGCAAAAAAATTGGGTTTCAAAGCTTCGGACGCACTACTAGTTCCTTTATGTAGTAATTTTTAAAGCAGTTTTTTGGACTAAACGGCCGTCAAGAAAGTTATAGTACGAAAAAGGGAGATTTTTGACAATACAAAAGGACGAAAGCGTGAAGTTCATACATGTTACGGAAGGTTCAACAAAGACGAGACAGAATGGGCGGCAGAGCAAGAATCTAGATTTCTGAAGAAAAAACCTTCTTGTCTCGATTTGTTTAATGATCTAACGCGATGAAGGCGTCCTATAAATAAATAAGTAAAGGGGATAAGTTTCTAGAGAAACTGTGGTGCTGCGTTGGTGGGAGAGTATAGCAGGTAATTTAGTGTTAACAACTGAGTTGAAAACGTAAATTGGTCTCTGTAAAGAGTAAAAAGGCTGACGTTTGGAGCGTTAGCCCTTCGTCAGAGCAATGGTCGCTAATTTACGTTCTCAACTCAGTTGTTAACCCTAAATTACCCGCTATAAATAAATACACAGGTACGATTACGATGGCATTAACGGACTAAATAATCCAGCGAGGACCGAACAATGTCCTGAGAGCTGGCTACCAGTAACAGGCGTACTTACATGAAAATATACGCAAATAATATTCCATGAAGTCAGGAGAAAGTTCGGATCGATAAACAAAACAACATGACCGGCTCCTTTCTGAGCCAGTCCGTAGTCCTGAGGTCTGATTGGCCCTCTGTGCATTAGTACAGAGGTGAACTCTTCAATTTCCAGCCACGAATGCTAGCAGTTGGTGGAAAAAGGTGTCCAATTGCTCCCATCAAACAATTTGTTGAACGAGGCCATTAGGAGCCAATAGGTATAAAATAAGTGGGTCCTTTCTACCTCAGTGCCAAACCTAGACTTCAATAACAACTTCAACCTATGGGCGTTAATATCATGAACATTACGATGAAACGACTGTGGTGCGTACTAGTCTTGAATGACAAATCGAGAAAAAGTTCGCGAATCATACAGCAGGTAAAACAACTGTCAGCAAGCTGAAGAATGCAAATGCTGGGTTCTCAGGTGTCGTCAAAGTCCCAAATCATAGAAGCTTTAAGTCCCACGACGACTACGATGAAGCCGATGAGCAGGAGCACTTCTATCTTGCTATATCAGAAAAAGAAATTATGGAAGCGCTTAACTAAGTAGAATCCAATATCAGTTTCCAACATCTCGACAACTGTGAATTTGCCCCAAATTACAGACGATGTCATAGTCGAAAAAAAACATACTCCCACCTGCAAATTTGTGTTTGAAGTCTCTGAATTTCTCCATAAGTTCAGCCACTGCAACAATATTGTCGTTTCAATAGCAGACCATGATGAATATGTTTAACAACTGCCAGGTTTCTTTCAATTTTGGCACTCAAAGCGTGCACCTGAGGTTTAAAAACGCCAGTCGAGTTCTTGTAGACGTAAAGGTTTCATAATCATGGGTGATACCGACGTTTACCGTCATTGATCATTGAATTTCTTAATTTGTTTAGACTACATGTCAAGTCGTATTTCAGCGCCTTTCGGGCTTATTTCATTTTTCCGGTTAGTCTAAAAATTGTCCTCTTGCTTATTTATATCAAATTAAACTCAAAATCATGTGAATATTGATACTTGAAGACATCACCTGTTAAAGCTACAATGTTTTCAAGAAATAAAAATCGAACGTAAACCGAGGGAGGGAGCACCATCCGCCGTGCTTTTGACAGAAAACTGAGTTTAAAAATGATTTTCGTTTCAGGATGATTTCCTTGCTCAAGGCGGAGGCAGTTTTTATCACCATTCTGTTGTGCTTTCTTTGTTCTCAACTTCCATCTTCGGCTGCAGGTAAAAAAAAAAGCATCATAACCAGCCTGTGGGAGAAAGTGATTTGTTAAGACACAATATTTTTGTATTTAAGGAATAAACAAAGTCGCTTTATTTCAGTCTAAACATATTTTTCCGAATGGTTCGGAAATCATCTGGATTTTTTTACTAAAGACCACCGAAAATTTCGTTCGTCCATTACTTACTTCATTCATACATAAATTCACCCATTTATTCTCTTTGCCCAATTCGCCGACTGGATACAGTTCTCAAGTCTCTTCCTCCCTACATCTAATGCCTATTTCATATACCCATCTTTATGGTACATTTTATGCTATCATTAGGATATCTTCCTTTTCTGTCCAAATCTTTGAAGAGATGTTTAACTCCAACTGCACAATTCAGCGAGCCAAAATACATATACTCCTTTTCTTATTGTTTGCAGAAGATAGCTACTACGCTGATAGAGCAGATATAGCAATCGTCGTGGATAGCAGTGGAAGTGTAACCCGCTCAAATTACAAGCTACAAAAACATATTATTATGAAAATTGTGGGAAAAATTGCCCCAAACGTTACTAAGCTCTCTATCTCATTAGTTACATCAAGCCGTGGCCGTGTTCTTTTTATATCTGATTTGAATCAATTTATACAAAATGGAGAGGGTTTTCCACTTCACGAACGTACTTTTTCATTTATCAAATTACCTTTGAATGCGGTATCGAGAGAAGTTTTCAAGAATCCTGAGCAGAACGTATCTAAGATTACAATTGTTTTTACCGACGGGTTTGGCAGGTCTCCTTCAAACTCACCTTCTGTACCTGTGAATGAACTAAGAAAAAAAGGTGTTCGAATTTTTGCCGTCGGATTTGGTGAAAATGCTCCAGAAGATGTGCTGAAGACGATTACAGAGAGAGAAGAAGACGTAATTGTTGAGAGGAGCTTATACACTTTACAGGATCATGTTGAAAATCTGGTTAAAATGATTCTTCAAGCCATTGGTAAGCTGGAAAAAAAATTTAACTAAAATTAATACAATTCATCTCTGTATTTGCTTTAAAGCTATGTTATTGCGTTAATCTCTTTCCAGGCCGGGGTAGGTATAAATGTATATTCTTTAAAAAGCTAACTAATCAAAGTGTTTAGCTTCAATATGCCACGACTGTTGATGAAACAGAAATTACCGTGGCTCCTGATGTTACCATTGTTGTTCGTGAATTAAAGGATCTCGATTCCTATACGATGAACGATTTTTTTATCCTTTCTTCGCCAAAAAAGCATCCAGTTGGCAAGTTAGATGGAATTATGTGATATTTCATTTTTTGGGGGGGATGCTTTCTATCAAAAGAATCCTCAGGTCTTACGGTGTGGGACTTAGATTTTTTTACCAGGGTGTCACGCTACATTTCAATCATAAAAAGATTTGTTGCTACTGTTTAAGCAACGACTTTTCCATTGAAGACTTGTTCTAAAACAGTTGGGTGATTTTTTCGGCAGATAATCCTTCAGTTCGTTTTAGGAAGCATCAAAACTGGTTTTTCGCCGGAAGAAAAGCTGAATTACGTTGTGTTACATCAGGCTGGCCCCCTCCAACAGTCAAGTGGCTGATGAACGGCAAGCAAGTTAAAGATGGGGGCCTTAACGAAACGGTTTATTTCAGGGAATCAGTTGCCGAAGAATCAATAACTCTGTCGCTTCACTTTTCTGAGGTAAAGCCTCAGCATGTTGGAGAATATACCTGCGAAGCTGAAAACAATTTCAAAGTAACAAGGCGTAGTACTGAAGTATCAATCAACTGTAAGGGACTATTTCGTATTTTGCATACTTGTAATAATAAGTTGAGTAAGGACAAAAATAGCATGTGAGCTCTATACATTTAAAACTTTTTCCTTGTATAACCCCTTCTCATTTTCCATTGTTTTACACCTCCACAAAAGCTACTTACCAGCTACAAAACACTTCCATTTTCCCACATTGACTCCAAGTACGCATGACCGTCCTGATCTAGCAAGAATACTGTTGAAGTGTCAGAGATGGAGCTCCATCATTTATGAGAAGGAATTCAGCATTAGTTAGTTTGTTTTAAGAAATTCAGATAAAAAAATGCCTTACTTGTTCCATTGATGCCCATCCTATTTGCACGTGGATTATTAAAGGCTAATAAACATCTTGTGCAGAATCAGAGCAGACAGTTTTAGGGAAAATCAATCTTACTTCAGACGCAACCAGTAATATATGAGTTGTGTTTCAAAGGCCCACCAGTTCTCAGTACGCTAACTGCAAGTTACGAGGCATTTCGATCAAACTCAAGAGTTACATTAAGATGTCGAGTTGACGGTCTGGATTATCAGCAGCTGTCTTCTTACCACTGGCAATGGAAGTTCCAAGGCCGGGAAATAAAAGACACGGCAAGGCACAAAGTGTCCAATGATACTCAGTCTCCCAACGTATGTCAGCTGTTTAGAGGATCTACAATTCTTTGTATAACAAACATTTCCAGTGAGGATTTTGGACAATACACCTGTTTAATACTACAGTCTAATACCACATTTGCAGAAAGAGAAATATCTTTTCATTCCTTTGGTAAGCTTTCGATTATTTTGATGATTTTTAAGTTAATTTTCTCTTTTAATCATTGTGAATTTTAGCTTTGTTTAAGTATCATATAATGAGAGTTGGCTGGCTTAAGTTTTGTTTTTCTTTTTTAATAAGTATGAATTTTAGCTATTTTTAAGTATCATATAATAGGATATGGTTGTAAATTTGTAAATTTTTATAAATATTGTATGATTTCGTATGATTGTAAAGCGCCTTGAGCAGAGGATACGAGCGCTATATCAATAAAGTTATTATTATGTTATTATTATTAACACCATTACATTCTCGAGAGACTTTAGCAGTCTCCACTTCATTACTTTGAAGAAACCTGGGTGACAGCGGAACTCGGAACAAGTGCCATCGAAAGCTTTATTTCAATTGTCAGTATCATCATTGTATATGATGCTATTTAGATGTGAATTGTTCAACTGGTCAATGTGTTGTTAGTTTTACTTCTTATATTGATCTCCTCGTCATCGTTAAGTGGTTTGTTGAATTTTTCAGAGCTACCACCACCCCAAATTGTCAGGGCGGATTCTTATAAGTGTGGACGCGCTATAAAGCTGCAGTGGAAACGTCCACTTTTGATCGAGAGTAAAGTGAATGGTTACCAAGTTACTTTGAGATCAGTCAATGGAAAATCCAAGCACATATCTAATTTCTCCGACGAAGTTTTTTCCCACGAATTTGACGGACTCGAGATCAATGCAGTTTATGAACTGAGTGTTCGAGCAAGAGATTCAAACGGATTTGGTCTTTGGGCAAGAGAACAACTAACGACGGCCGCAGGTAAGATCGAAATGAAACCATTGAAAATATCCTTACCAAGACATATTCATCCTCTGAAGGCGATAGTTTTTATAATTTGATATTTGATAAAAGTCTCTCTGACTGAAATCGCCGTTGGGACTAGATGTAACCTGCCTATGAAGCATTTACAACAATAATGGTGCCACGTGCGACAACTGTGTCTTTAATATGCATATAACCTTGTTAATAATATACATAAAGAAAATTACGCGCGTCTGATTTGCTTATAACACTGGAGTGCTTTTTTCCTGTAACACAAGTGGAATGCTGTAACATGAATGCAAATTACAAATAGCGCGCTGCCAAAAATTTTGTCCGTCTTGACTTTCTGGGATGCATTTTTTACGTAAATTAGTAACAATTAACAACATGATTTTTAGTGCAATTTTGTGTAAATAAGCGCTTCAAAGACCGTAAATTGCACTTGCCCTACGGGCTCGTGCTTATTGACAACAAATTGCGTTCAAAATCATGTTTTTACCTCTACAAATTGTATTACAGATGTACCAGCCGCGTTGAAGGTCAAAGCGGAACCGTTTGGCTGCAGTGCCAACCTGTTGTGGAATACAGCCGTGAACCAAAGCTGCCCAATCACTAAGTACGAGATTTACTATAGGGAATCAACTACAGGAAGGATGTCGGCCAATAGCTGCGTGTGGGCCGTGAAAAGCCTCAAAGGGGCAAACAAATATCGTCTCTTGTTGGATTGTGCCCAGAGATATGAAATCATGGTTATGGCCTGGAATCAAAGGGGACATAACGACTTCAATGAAAGCTCTGTGTTATCAGTACTTACCGAAGAAGGTAAAGATACGGATTTCATCGGTATACACTATTGAAAATGCTCCATCAAAATTAAATTTCTCACCAAACAGGATGGTCCTTTTTACAGTTGTGTGCTTGGTTGCCAAGCCTTTGAACAGGAGTGAGGCTAAGATTGACTTTGTTATGATATAAACCTTGCTGCTTTTCGAGCTTTTTCGAGTGCAAATTACTTTGTTGTCATGCTAAGTAGATACTGGTCTCTATTACAACAGGATCACTTTCAGTCCAAATCAAAGGCTTGGCAACGAAGTACACAACTGCAAATGGCCTATTAGCTGTTTTTATTCTTGTTCATATTGTTGTTGTTGTTGTTTTAAATAAATGCACACATAAGACACGGCGGTATCATCCCAGGGGCATCATCAATATCATTTTAAAGTGAAGAAAAGAGAAGTTTAAACTTAACATCTACGAAGCGTGGCAAAGGAAAGAGTGATAGCGTGGAGTGGACATACACGAAGAACTTTCTGTGTGTCTCCTTCATAAAATCATCCCTTATTCGATATGTGTTGAGTAGAGGTTGCTTTGATCGGGGCACAATATCAAAAGACCAGAAAAAGCAATGCACATTGACGATTCTTATGCATTTAGAAATGAGTTATTGTATGTTAGTTTTTAATTAATCATGAATGTGTTGTTAGGTTTCCCGTTTACACCGTCGATAACAGATATCCAAAGAAAGCAATGTGATATTGTAGAAGTTTTGTGGAATAGATCAACTTCAGATTCTGGTGGAGGTCCAATAACTGGTTTCGAAGCGCAGATTAGAAATAGGAATAGCCTGAACTGGAATAATTGCACGTATGATCTTTCAAATGTTAATTATTCCTGTTCGTTCGATGGTTTACTGAGTAAGAATACCTATGATATTCGCGTAAGAGCCGTCAACCAGAAAGGGCCTAGTCACTGGGCGAACCGAACATTTACGACCGAAATAATAGGTAAGTAATACAATTACTGCGGGTAAAACAAGAAGTGATCTGGTATGGCGATTCATTCTTTCTCCTAGTTAATGAATCATTATTTGTGGTTAAGTGTATAATTAACAGATCTAGATAAATTTATCGAATTTGAGCTTTCAAGCAACCGTTTAAAAATCCTTTCCAAAGGATGCAAATGCTTTCGTAAACAGTAATTTGCATTGTAGAGTCATTCAGTTCTTTTTTTATACAATTATATAATTTTATACAATCAATACCTTGCATGCTTTTAAAAGCAGGTCGCATGATTTAAGCTGATATCTATCAGATAATGATAACAAGATCTGGCCATTGTGCATGGAGGTCATTTTAAAAACAACCTTGTAGTCATTTGTATATGCGTTTCACTAGAAAAAAAAAGTCTTGCACATTGTCGTCAAGTGCTTTGATGACAACAATAGAGGGTAATACATGATTGCGCGTACACATGGATACACTCTACGAGTTTTTTAATTAATTAGGTATCTCGTAAATGAGGGAGTTATCAAATTCAACCTGAGAGGAGGAATTCCGCATCTTCAAGCAACCATACATTATTTTGTTTCTCTGACAAACTAACAGGAACAGGTCAACTTCATTAAAGATTCAAATATATATTAGGAGATTATAACCTTGCTAGTGATGGGAAAAGTGAAGAGTCAAAAGGAAAAAGCTGAGCTTCAATGGAAAGTAATTAAGTGAGCGATAGGGCTTAATAATATCAGAGCGAAAATTTTCTTTTAGAACTAACCTGCTGTCTAATCCTGTTGGTAGTAAAAAGTAAATCCTTTTTTTTTTCATTTTCCAAGAAACTGTAGAAATGCCCTCAACGTAGCTGCATTACCCTTGGTCTTTGTATGAGTGTTTTTGTAATCTTCCAAGCCACTTATCTACATGCATCATGGTTGTTGAACTATAGAATTATTTCACTGATTGGCGATCTCAGACGTACATAGAATTATCACAAAAAATCACGTGTTAAGATACGTCTTTCTTCTTGGTGATCGAAATCCACCAAACAGAGTAGATACAGTGAAACAATCATGATGCTATTCCATGAGTGCAGCTTCGAACAATTATAGAATTAGCGACGTGCACACGCTTTAGCAGCTTTAAACACACTGATTTAAGTCAAAACGTCGTTCCTGTAGAACTTTTTTTAATAAACACTTAGTGGAAAATTTTGGCAATGATGCCAAAGATTAAAAAGTTTCTTTAATTCTTGCGTAATATTGATTGCATGATTCTCATGCAATTTTATTTTGGCTCATTAATATTGATAGTTTCGGCTATCCGGACTCTCGGATAGTTTATAAAATAACTTGAACAATCTCTTCGAAGTAGTTTTATAAGTGTAGCAAAGCTGCATTTGGAGTTTTTTAGTGCTTTTTCTCTCATAAATCAAGCTAGTATGTTCAACTGGGTTGCAGGTCCACCTGATTCACCTAAGATTTTGTACGACAATTCTACAATTTCTGGAAGAAATGCTTCCGTGAAGTGGACTTCTCCTGAACACTATCATTGCAACATTACCATGTACTCCATTTGCTACAGAGAGACAGAACCAAGTGTCAATGGTTGGAAGCAATTAAACGTTTCGGGAATAACAAGTTATGAACTGCATCTTAAATACAGCAAGAAATATGAAGTCATAATTGCTGCTTGGAACAAACTGGGACGAAGCGAAAGCAGCCAAGCGTGGGAACCAAGAACAGCACAAGGTACTGACATTATTGTGCTAAGTATGAAATCAAGGTCTGCATTTCAAATTTTCGCCATGGTGCAAATCAAATAAAAGCCCTTCACATCACATGGTTCAAAATCTGTGTTGCTGGGTAATACATGTCTCCGAGGCAATTGCGCGAGATCAATCTCTTGAATGGTTGATTGCTGTTTGTTTTAGATTTACTCGTGGATATCTGGCCTTACAATGCTGGTAAATATGTCCTATTTAATAAAGTCAAACAAGGAGCCTATAATCGCTCAGAAAATTTTTTTCTTCTGATTTTTTTTATGACTATTACTTTAATGAAGAGGAAATTACCGGTATTTTATAGAGTTATAATCTACTTATTTATATCACTGGCCATATATTTTGATGAAATATATATTGACTTTTTTCGCAAAGGAAGTAAAGTAATGACAGCTACAAGGTGATCATTCTTTTCACATACCTTTTACACATTTATCCCAGCGTTGAGTGTTGTTTTCATATCTACGATACTTACAGATGTGCCGTATGAACCAATCCTGCATCAGCCAATCCTTGGACAGTGCAACATCATCAACGTATCTTGGAGTCCCCCAACGCGAGAGGCACTCGGAGATCCAGTTACCCTCTATGTACCTCAGATAAAAATGACTGAGCCTAAAGGATCTTGGATCAACTGCACATGTTTCAGCGTTTTAAATCCAATGTCTTGTCTGTTTACTAACTCGACGCAGTATACACATTATGACGTCAGAGTGCTGGCAAAAAATAAAATAGGATACAGTTTGCCCTCCAGCGTATTGCAAATTTCTACAGAAGAAGCAGGTATACAGAGCAATCATCATCATTATTCAATAATAAATTATGATTTAAAAAAAAAAACCTGTTTCATACATCACTTAGCAAATAACAGTAATAATACCTTAAACAACCAAGGATTTTCAGTCATTCTAGAGGGAAGAAAAGAACTTCCTGTAGTGGATTAAATACATATTTAGAACATAATTTATTTGCTTTATGGAATGAATGACCCAATCAAAGGGAAAAGCCTGAACTGTGTTTTTCGGTATTATATATCTGTGCTAACAAAATATTTCTCTCTGTCATCTCTAAAAATACTCTCAATTAAAACAGAAACTCTCCTTATCTTATGCTTAACGGCGTAATAGTAAACTTTGAACGATTATGTCAATAAAAAAAAGCATCATACAGGTATTCCGCTCTTTTCTCTTAAAATTTTCAGACCAGCCTGGCAAACCTGAAATAATTGAACGGAAAGTGTCAGGATGCAATGTGACCTTAAAGTGGACCACGCGAATGTCAAAAAACTGCCCAATACTTTTCTACACAATCAGCTACAGAAAAAAATGTGCACCCCCTGATGCCATCGAGTGGGCTATGATAAATATTACGGACGTTACAGTCAATCAAGTCACCATCAAACTGAATTGCACTACGACTTATGAGTTTCAGTCCAGGGCTTGGAACCTGTTAGGAGGGAGTGCCAATTCTACAAGACAGGAGGCAACTACAGAAGATGTTCAATCTGACTTTGACCAGACGACTGCGAAACATCACCCATCAGGTATGGACATAAAACGAGCAAAAGCCTCTTGCTCTCCATAGGAGCTAGGATATGTTATGCAATAAATTCAAAATGAGATAACAAAAGATATGGATATATCTAGCCTGAAAAGTTTGCTAATGCTGTTAAGGTCATAGCTTTGTTTATTTACCTTGTAGATTCCTCAATTATGACCAATCTAATAGGAGCGCTGATCGCCTGTTTGGGTTTCTTGGTCTTTATCCTACTGGTCATTGGCTTTTGGTATTTCCACAAGAATCAGGCGACTAAAAGTTCAAAAAGGTATACGTAATTATTATTTTTTTCAGATACTTAGAAATTGAATCGCTGTACAGGATCTAAAATGGCAAAGGAACGCTCGTTCTAAGAGAGAAAGAATGCAGCAGGTCAAATGAAGTAACTTCACTTCCAAGTTTCTCCTAATAACGGCTAAGAACAAGACCGAATATCGAACGAGGAGCTAATTAGTACAAGTTTAGTTTATACTTAAATATGTCTCTAAATAAAGATGTATTCTTTCCAATAAAGAACTGCCAAAGACCTTCAGGTTTTGGAGCAGTCCGAAATCCATCCGATCAGAATAGAATTTCTCGAAGCACTGGGCGAAGGAGCGTTTGGAAAAGTTCACAAAGCAAGACTTAAGGATAGTTTGGATCTTTTTGCAAACGATGAAAAATTTTTTGGAAGAAAAAAGCAGTCAAAGACTGTAGCAGTGAAAGAATTACATGGTATGATGGAATTATGTTACGTTAATGTTTTTATGTTTGCTTGCTTTAGTTTTACCACATATTAAACGCAGACCATTGGTAAAATTCACGTTACGATTTTAAAAAATCAAAATGAAGTCCTTATATTTGATCATTATTAAAACCACTAATATTATAAGGATGCAAATATGTTCAAAACAATTCTGAAATAATGTTTGTAATTTAATGAGCCCTTGTTTGCTTATCAAAAAAGAACGCGCTGACGAGGAGCAAAGGAGAGAATTTTTAGAAGAGATTGACCTCATGAAGCAAGTGGGAAAACACCAGAATGTGTTGAGTTTCCTAGGTTGTTGGACCACAACCGAACCTTTTCTTCTGATGCTCGAGTATGTAGCTCATGGAGATTTGCTTCAATGGCTGAAAAGGAAAAGGGTCCAGGTAATTCTGATAAATAATAATAATGATAATAATATTAATAATAATAAACATCTCAAACACCACTCTCTAATTAGCTAGGTAATGTCTGCATTTCTCCAAAGTTATTTTGCTTTACCACAACAACACGGTTAGAATCTCATATTTTGCACATCCTTCCTCTTTTATCTTTGCACACTAAGATGTTCTCCATTGTTTCGAATGTTGAAAATTACAAAATATCCATCATTTATGCCAATCATTTAGTAGCTCAACGAAAATAATCCACTCGGAGGAGCGAGCATAATTCAACGTAGAAACCGATCAGATCGAACTTTTGTATTTTATTCCTTTCCTTCACACAATGAGACCAAAAAGGAAGAGAGAACGAAGGTAAACTGTGTAAATTTAGACAACTCATGACCTCTCGTCGCCGTTACAGATTAACAGTTCCACCAGCAGCTGCCCAGAGGGAATTAGTTTTTATGCTGAAAGCACGAATCTCAAATCAACTGCAGGAGAGGTAAAAAAAATAAATTTGCAATCAACTTTTGATTAGTAGGACACTTAGGAGGGTTCTTATGCATTTCCCCCAAATGGTACTGAGCTGCGATTCATGGTTATATCTGTTTAACAACTGAAGAAGTTACAGTAAAAGGCATTATGTGGGGCAACAGAATAGGAATAAAGAATGATTGTCCAGCGCTTGGAGGCAAAGAGTGGAATAAAACACTGCAATTCTGGACGTTCTATAAAAGGATAGAGATATAAAAAAAACAGCCAAAAAGATGATTATGGAATAATTGAAGCAGATTTAAACATACGACGTTTGGAGTATTGACGAATGCATCCTTGAGGAGAATAAAGAGTTCTTTTGTTGCAATTTTGTTTAAACTTGGTCAGTAAAAGAATTCTGCCCTTCTAGTGAGAGGCTCTAAGCCGAAAATTAGAAGGTGTTTCAAGTACTTAACACATTATGTTCCATAACCTAATTTTAAGAACCTATCTTTTGGATCAGGTCAGTGATGTAAGAGGCAAGAACATACCAGAGGCATGCAACTCTGCCCCTTCTCCTGGTGACACATCACAACCAACTGAAGCTAAAATTCCTCTGGTTGTTTTCTCCACTAAGCTGCAAGAGGGTGACGCTTTGCCGGAGAAGAAAGACGATGAGTGCAGTGATGATTGCGAGTCATTTATTCCGGCTGATCTCATGTCCATGGCTTGGCAGATCGCAAAAGGCATGGTAGGGTGAGACTTAAGTGCATGCAGGGACCGTGTTTTTGGCTTTAATAATTAATATTCATTTCGGTATTCATTAATACCCCCAAGAAATAAAATACCTCGATGATAAAGATTATAATATATAAGCCCTTTCGTCGTTCGCTCTGACGAAGGGTTAACGCCACGGGGCCA